GATAAAGCTAGGTCTGCTTTTAATGTTTAGTCCTGTTTCTCTCCTAGACATGGGCTCAGCTATCATGTTAACATGGAAACTGGCTGAGGTCGTCTTCTAAATGGTTTCTTTCATAGACAGAGCCACCAGAGGAGCTAGCTTACTATTACCTTTCATCTACCATATATCAGAATCTGAAGGTATTATCTCTACCCTGTTTGGTTCATGGTATTCAAAACAAAAGCACTCTTAAAGTTGGCTGCAGCATGAATTAATTTCTGCTTTCAAAGTCCAATGTGGTTTAGAAAGGTATTTTCATTAAAACAAAAGCACATTTCACTAAATCAAAGCTATGGCAAGATAGTTTGTTAGGACCTGACATTAATGACCCTGCAGGAATCTGTGCAACTGTGTTCAAGATTAAAAAACGTCTCCTTCATCACCTGCTGTCAATCTAAAGCTATAAAATAATTTCTTGTTACTCGCTTTGAAATCATACAATTTTTGTTTTCTTTATGGTAATGAAACCATGACACTGAAGCTTTACCAATGAGCAAAAGAACAAAAGGAAACATGTAAGCAATGTAAAATTTGGAACGAGCCGGTTGAGAGCAGCTGTAAGTCTAGTTTTCAGCATATTTTTAGATGTTTCTCTGCTCTAAACACACCTGATTCCAGGAAATGAATGACTTCACCTTCCAGTTATCATGTTCTGTGGAAGTCTGTGGAAGGCAACCGACTGAAACCGTGTGTGGGAGCAAAGCAAACATCTGAAATATGCAGCAGGCTGCTACTACATCACCATCCAAAATGACAGCAGCGTTGATTTGATTATGAATTAACCACATAAAATCAATTTAAAAACACTGAAAATATTCTAGCAAACTAGCAAAAGCAGAAGAAAAAGGATTGTTGGAATGTTTTCTAAAAAAATACACAAAAGAAATAGATTGCAATAAAAGGAAAATCACTCAGCAAACAGAAGCTTGCTCTGTTTGGCAGCTAAGACGTGAAAAAAAGGTCTGAAAAGAATTTAATTTCAGTTATTTTGCTGAGTGAACCTTCAGGCGGAGGACAAACAGAACCACTTTCATAATTTCCCTAAACTCTCCTTTGGGATCAGATGTGCAGGAATCTCCAAAATCTAACAGGAGGAAAAT